CCACTAGCAGGGCTGGCTGGAAAACAAATTTTGTTTTGTGAAAAGTTTTGAGGTGTCGGAGTTTGTTTTCATTCCACATCAGGATGAACTCTGGCCCCTTCAAAACACTTTGTGGAAGAGCAGACAGACACCCCAAAACAGTTATGCACTTCCCACAAACCAGAAGAGGGCAATGACCATCAGGCCAGGCTGGGGTGGGATCACTCACCACCCCTCCTGGGAAGCTGGGGCACAGTATTGAAAGGCATGAAATATCTATGGGGCCAGAGAGGTTGGGAGCAGAAGCAGCTTGATCCTAGAGCCCAAGGAGGAGGGCTCAGCTGAGCTGTTCTCAGCTGGGACAGAGGAGATCCACATTTAAGGCCCCATTCTCCCTTAGCAAAGACACAGAGCAGCAGCTTACACCTAGATCTTCCACATTCCAGGTGGACAAGATTCTTTGAGTAAACCAATATCGTTATTAGACCAACTAAAATAGTTGGAAAAAATTCTTCTTTGAAAGCTTTCAGGTGCAAACACTCTTCTTCCAGGTAAAACACTCCAATACTTTGCTCCTCCCTCACCCTTTATCTTTAACCAGAAATTCCAGCCTGGACATGAATACAGAAAGCTTTTAGCCATGTCAATTCAGTGAAAAGAGACATTTTGTCCAAAAAGCAGACAAGCAAAGCATAAAACAAAGTTTACAGAGACCCCACCGTGCACTTCACAAATGTAGCCTTCTTTGTTACAGGATGCAAAGACGTGATGCATCCCTGATGTCTCTAGAAGTTAATGAATCAAACTGGGGGGGGGAAAAGGAGGGAATGAGCTATTTTTAAAATTCTTCTTTGCATACTTGTGGAAAAATAAAATTATTAGTTTCAGTGTTTTATTCAAGTTTTTGCCCAAAGTTGCAGGTTCTTTTAAAAGATAGAAACTTGCCAGGTATTACAAAACAGCACCAGCAACAACAAACGTTTCTTTTTATGTTGAAATGGCATTTTCTAATCATTAGCATAACTAGAGAAGGATGACCAAGGCACCAGCCCAGTCACTATTTTTGTGGAGGCACAAGAATGGAGGCTGCTGCTGCAACTACCTGGGCCAACACAGTCCTGGTGCTGAAACTTGTTATACCTCTATTTTCTATGCAGGCCTAAATTTCACAAGTGACGTTCTCTAGAAAGCCTAGCTTAATTGTTCTCGTTGAGCAAAGCAAAATAGTCTATCAATGATGGGGAGGAAAATTGTCCTGGATAAAACTGTGGCATGCACAGTATATGCAACAGGCTTTGTATACCTCTGCTTCTGAGGGCAACGAAGGGTCTTATACTATGGGCTCAATATTTTCCTTTACTCAGAGCAATTCCTTTTTTCTCAGATGAGTGTTTTAAGTGTCACAGAGATACTACATGGCGAGATGTAGGACCATAGACCTATGAATGCAAACACACAGCATAAGCTGGAATCCATCTCCTTTGGAAACGCTCAACTCCTCATTCTTCCCCTTCACAAAAACTACCTTTTGCACGCCCTCCCCAAACTTCTTGTAACCTGGAAATCATGAAGCTGCATACAAACATGAAGGATCATATTTGTTTTTAGATTTTTAGCAAAATAATGGTCTTGGAGTGTATCAGATGATTTCCTCCCCCTTTGCTAGACAGGAAGGTAGTTTTTCATAGTGAAAAACTGCAGTTCCGCCTGGGTGAAAAACTAGCCGAGAGAATCAAGCCTGGTTATAGTTTGTGAGCCTTGTTATGATATATCGAATCACAGCCCAGTTTAAATCGGAGGTGTTTATTAAAGAAAAGAGCTACACCTACAGACACGGGCAAACACATTTCTTCACAGCTTGAGTCCCAGCTTTGTCCCTGTTGCTTGCCCAGAACCTTTGTTGAAAATGTTATACAGGCTGCAGGGTTTGATCAACACTGCAAATAAAACACATGATTGCACAGTCAGTACTGCCAGCCCCTAGAGTTCAAAAATCATAGGTAAGGCTCCTCAAAGTAATGAGCTTGGCCCCCCAAATCATGAGATAACTTTTACTACTTTGGGGGCCTACCCCTTTGCCTGTTGTGCACCTCCCCCAGCATGTCCAACCATCCGCACTGTCAGCTTTTCTATACACAATCTAGCAGTTTTTTATGCATTCGCCCACCCTCTCAACCTTGCCTCCCAGCCACACATCTACCCCCTTAAAATATAGTTCCTGGGAGGAAAGGGGAAAGGAAGAAGGGCTACTGACTCTGCCTTTTTCTTCTGCCACATCTCCTCTCCTCTCTCATGAAAATGGCATCAGCTGTTCCCTCTCCCACTTTCAAATCCAAGAACTCCTCAGTCCTGGGAGACATCTCTACAGCTCGTATTGCATGTCTCCAAGAGGCAGGGAAAGGAGGAATGCAGCTAGTTAGAGAGGGTTTTGCAACCAGCCAGAGAAGGTATTTTTTTCCCCCTGGCATGTTCAAAAATCATGCAAGTGCAGGAGTTTTTAGCATCACTGCTTCCGGCAAGGGCTAGAATTACATTTCTGCTGATGAAATCATGAGAGTTGACAACCTCTACCTAATACAGCCCTAAGCATCTTCATTAAAGGCAACCACAGTCCCATGTAGCTCAGGCAACATCATCCCTAGGCAGGGCCTGGAGAGCATGAAAATGTCAAGGTGTGCTAGCTGCATATTCTTTGCCTAAGCACGAGGAGCTTGACTTCAGCTTCGAGGCAGCTGGGACTGACTAGAGCATTAAGCAAATAGATTTTAATTTAAACATTTGGATTTCAAAGCTTTTCTGCAGTGATACCAACACATTCCCCAATGCCCAGTACTTGAAAATTCTGTCCCTTGGCCGTCAGCAATATTAAATGAGCCGCTTTAAAGTACCGTGTAATTTGGGGGAAGAGATGGTGAGCAAAGCTACAGAGGGGGGAAAAAAAACCAGAGTAAACTTTGGAAAATATTAATAAAAAACTCAGAAAAAGGAGATGAAAAGAAGGAAGCGTGATTTCCATATTTATAAATCTAACCCCGCAGAGGCTTCCAGCAGGCGGTATCAAACTGACAGCATGGATGGTAGAACCCAAAAAGAGAGAAAAGTTCCAATTAACGGAAAGAATCAGAGTGCTGTTCCCAGAGTTTCATTTAAATCAGAACCAATCAAGGCTTGTTCTGGTTCCTGCAGCTTCGCTCGGGAAATAATGAGAAAGATGAAAGGGGCTCAGCCGGCTAACGCAGGCCTCCGCAGCCCTTTGAAGCCAAGAAATCACAAACATTGCTTCTGAGAGGTTTGTATTTGTATGGCAGCTGTTGCACAGGCTCCTTTGCGGGAATGATCTGCTGCTTGATTTCCTTCCGCCCGGCCGTGGCCTGGGCAATAATAAACAATCACAGGCCACGTGCGCGCTGTGTTTTAAAACACAACAACGCAGTGGTTTAAAGGACAATGTCAAGAAGTTCAAGCCTCAAGTACAACCTGTCTCAGTTGTCTTCCTCTAAATGGTGTCTTATCCCTGAATCCACCGTCACTGCATTGAAGAAGTTTAAGAAAAGCAAATGCTGGCTGCTAAGTCTTGATAAATAAAACGCGCCAATCCCCCTGGATCTGCAACAGGATTTTGATGAAAATGTCCATCCTCGTGGCTGTACTGATATCCCTGATGTTGCTGGACAAACAAGGGAGTCAAACCAAAAGGGAGCTGTGTAAATTGGAGCTGCATTGAAGTTGACACGATTCTTTCCATGGACTCACAGGGATTTGGTTCATGTCCCGGTAGCCTCCAGGGAGGAAATCAGTTTGCCAGGTGGAGAGCAATTAATCCTGGGAGCTCTTGTTTTGAGCGTCTACAAAGTTCTTATAAACACACTAAAAATAATGAGTTAAAGCAGATTTTAAAGGGGGGAGAGGGGGGAAACTAAAAACACAATCTATATTTGTTGATGTTATACCAGAAGCCGAGGTTTCCCTCACTAAATGCCTTGCTCTCAGGTTTATGTCCATTTTGGAAAAAAAGACCCTTCTGTGGCTATGGAACAATGAGTACAGAGGGCAGCCTTCCACCATTTGAAGCAGACCTCTGCTGACTGCAATTTAACATTAATACGTACTTTCCACACCCCTAGAGGAAGGGAAAGGCCACTTAACATTCACTGGGAGTCTAAAGTATGCAAAAGGAGTTCAAGAGCATTTATATTTAACTTTTTAGGTGAGACACAGGTGAAATAAATTGGACCCTACTTTGCTGAGGAAGGGGGAAAATACATGGGTCACATGCAGTGGTTGTCCTTACACTCCTTTTTCTACTGCCATGTTCCTGGTAAGGAGTGTGTGTATGTATGCACGCACAGTCCTTACCAGGAACATGGCAGTAGAAAAAGGAGTGTAAGGACAACCACTATAATATTACACACACACCAGGAAAGACTGTCACACACACACACACACACACACACAGCATGGACACAGCATTAAATCAGTCAAATTAGCTGAAAGTCCATGCATTTCCTACTGCTCACTCTGCAATGCACAATGAAGACTGGTGCCTATTGTATGCTTTCCATTAGAACTACCATTTCTTCCCCCAGTTCTGCTCCAGGTGGTGTGACAGGGTGCTCCCTGCCTGCATATGGATGGAGCAGGCACTTGCTTTTCTGAAAAGCGTTGGAGTTATTTATGTGCCTCACACCCAGATTGTTGAAAAGGAAACAGGCCACATATGTGTAGGCTGTTTTCTGTAGGATGAAACAGGAGGGAGGATCCTGTGCACAGCTCTTCACAATCTGCAGTCCCTGATGCCTGACATAGGCACAACTAAAGGTAAGCAAAGGTATCTACTGTCCAATTTTCACATCTCCCAGTAATCCCTGAAAGAGATTCCATTTCCCTTTCTGTGGCAGCCAGAAATATGCCATTCCCTGAATGGCAGTGGCACTGCTCAGTCTGAAGCAATTCTAGGATGCCCCCCTTTGTTAGCAAAGCTAGAGACCATAAAACAATGTCCAAACCAAGCACTGACTTACCTTTGCAGGCCACATTGTTCTCAGGCTCGTATCCAGCTTTGCAAGTACAGCGCCCAATGGGAACCATCCATTCCCCATCACCATTGCAGTACAGTTTAATGGGCACATCCACCTCCTCAGCATTGGGGATACATGTGCCACGTGCAATCACAAGCGAGGTGCTCTCTGCCCCAGTCATAGTCTCTGGGAAGATGGCAAAGTTCTGCACCACGCTAGGACATTTCTTGAAGAAGACCCTGACTGACAACAATGACATACAAGCCCCATAGTCCTGGAAGGCGAGGTAAAAGCCATTGCGGGTGAGAGGTCCAAAGCTTCTCACTTCTGTGTTCACCTTCATCAACCTGCCACCGAAATCCACCTGGGAGAAGCTCTCGTCAGCCGCAATGGTGTCCACTTTGAGGTAGGGTGCCTCCGTCCAGAAGGCTGACTTCTTGGTGGCAATGACAGAATCTGTCTCATAGTAGTACAGGTTAAAGGTTTCTTTGCAGGACCCAGGAACATTGGGGAGGCTGCTGCAGTCCCGCACAGTGAAGCGCATTTCAGTGTAAATGCGGTGGGCGCCCCGTCGGTTTATGAATGTTGTGAGGAGCCAGTTGTTCTGGTTTGGCTCGAAGACGTTGCACACCTGGTAAGTGCGGATGGTGTTCAGGTTCTCGTCGTAGCCGCTGACCTCTTCCCACTGTGTGGAATTCACAGAAATGGACAATAAGAAGGATGCAGTGGAACAGGCACAATAGTGGAAGTTTAACCTACTCGCCTTTTAATCACTCCCAATTCAGGGTGGGGATGGAGGGAGGGAGAGTCAGTGGCTCAGAGGATTAGCGCATTTGGCTTTCACCTCTGGAAACACAGGAGAAAACCGTATTTTAGATTCATGATTTATGGAAGCAAACAGAAAACAAAACCCTGACTCTAAAAGCAAAAAAAGAAAGCTCCTGCTATACATGTGCGCGCGCACACGCGCACACACACACACACACACACACACACAAAAACCGGAATTCTTTTCAACTTAATAATGAAGGGCAGCATACACCTCCAAGCTCAAAGGAAATCAACAGTATCATCCCCATGTTACTGTTGGGGAAACTGAGGCAGATAGAGGCAAATGTGACTTACCCATGGTCGCCCCCATGGTTATGGCAGAGATAGAAAGGATTGCAGATCTCCTCGGTCCTAACTCAGGCTACACTGCATCCTATTCATTTCCTTGCCTTGTTGATGCTGCTAGCACTTGAAGAGGATATCAGGCTGCCTCACATCAAAGCTTTGAACTTTTTCACATTGTCAAAGGCAATGAGTTACCATAACCATGGATGGCAGATCTATGTCAAGAAACCAGGCAAAAATTCTGTTCACACTATGAACAGCTTGAAGCCATAGGTTCTCAAACTGAGGAGGACCACTTGCTGGTGATCTGCAGAGAGCTGGATAGTTGCCCGGAGCTACTTTCTTCCTTGTTTCCAGGTGCTAAATTGTATGAAAATATAGCAATATGCCTAATCCATGCAGGCAATTGTTGTAGCATCTCTGCAGATGCTTATGTTTAAATAGCAGGAGAGATGGGCCATTCACTTGTGACTGGAAGGGAGAGTGGTGCATGAGCATACTTCTCTATTAAGCTGCGGTCACCATCTGGCTCTGAAAAAATGAGAGGCCCCATTGCTATATGTAGTGCTGTCAGTCTCACTTTCATGAGCAATAAATAAATAAAGCAAGGCACCACCAAAACTGAAAGACAGAGTGCAGATTTGCAATCAGATTCATAAAAGGGCATCAGGATAACCCTGACTACGATTTCAATTAAGGGGCAGCAGCAAACGGTGAATAGCCTATGATGACATTAGTCCTACAGACAGATTGATAACCTCATAATCCATTCATCTTCACTAATCCATGTTTACAGTCTTCTCATTTGTAACAGCATTACTCATATGGCAGTGTTTACATGCTACCATGGACGTGGCAGTGTTTATGTGCTATACAAATGGAGGGGGGTGCACATACACATATACAAGGGTGTATTACAAAATGCTGGAGTACCTTATATGTGCAGTGATGTAACAATATAAATGGGGAAAGGAAGAGTTTATAGTACAGTATATAGCATCCCTGTAGCATCACAGTATTACACATTATTCTTCACTTCTGCTCCCCTGTCAAATCAATATTTTTCTTTAGTATTTGCACAAGCAAGCTACAGTATTGGTGAAGGGACCGGAGTACTAGTTAATTCTTACAGGATCTTGTTTCATCAACAACTAAGTGCTTCAGTAAATTTTATCCCAGGTCTAACTCTGCTTAAGCTTGCGAAGATCCCAGCTCAAGGTGGCATAGCTGCATTCTTACTAATGGATGCTAACTGAGTAAGCGGTAGATGGTGGCAAACAATTCCATCCAATAATGTGTCCTCTCACTTGTTATCCTATTCCTGGGCATGCCATGAAAACAGTACAAAGATATTACTTCTCTGCCTTGAACAATATGTTATTTTGACTGGACCAAGTATCCTTTCATAACAGAGCACTTAATTTACATGAGAAAAGTAACCGAGTTCATTCTGGATTACTGAATCAGAATTGTTTACCACATCATTTTGGGCTTTGCATTGTGAGCCAGAATCCAATTAATTTCAGATAATGGGCTACCTAGCTTTTAGTAGTTGCCTGGTTGTGAACTATCAGCTCCAGGGTTGGTGTTTTGCCAAACTCTAAAGGAAATGGCCTCTTCTTTCAATCTGTAGTTGCTCTCACACACGCCAACATCACTGCCCAGGCTGATATTCTTTTATTCATGATGTACCTTGGGGAAATGAGCTCTGTCTCTAACACCAATTCTACTGCCTTCCCATGGTGCCCCCATTTCACTGAGGTGAGAGTCTTGAATGGAGCCTCAGAATTCAGATTTGGGCTTGCCTCTTTATGAAAGACCTTGACTGCAAAAGTGGCTCTGGCAGTGAAGACAGAGAAGGCCAGATTGTCAAGCAAAGACCACCCAGCAGCAGTAGAGGAGTAGGAGTCCCTAAGCACCTGCTAGAGGTGACTAGAACAAGGGGCGTTGTACATTAGCAACTGAGATGCACATATCTGTCTCTGGAAACCCCAAACCCTCTAAAATACAAATCACACACATCATCCTCCACCGTGATGGGCTGCTGGACAGCATGCCCTGCCCATGTTCACTCCATGTGCACCGACTCATCTGACCCCAGTGGTCTTTCCTGCCCAAGTGCAAGGGGGCTGGACCCGATGATCTGTAAGGTCCCTTCCTGCCCCTAGCAACTATGAAACTCCCAGAAAGGAGGCCAGGATTAATAGTGGCCATGTGCCATTAGGCATCCTTGAGACAGTCTCAGACTTGGGCACATGCTCAGTGCCCCTTCCATCATTAAGAGCTGGCATGTGCAGCGTGGGAGTGAGTGGGCAGGGCACCCTTTGCATTAAGGTGCAACACGGAGGTGGGACAGACATGGCCCGAGTGAGCAATGTGTGCGAGGAGGGGAGAACAGTGGGTGGGAGGTGAGGCTGCAGGTGGGAGGGCAAACTCGAACAAACAGGGTCCCTGCTAAGCAGCTAGGTGTACGAGACGCGTGCTCCTCCCATGCTGCTAAACGCACTTCCCTGTTCATGCTGCCACGCTGGGCTGTGTCAGGGAAGGAGGTGAGAGCTGGGCCCTGCAACAGAGACACTGAAATTGAGATACACCGTGTCTCCAAGCCTGGATACTCGCGGAGCCAACCACACCGCCCCCTCTCAGCCTGCCATCGGGCATGGAGTAGCACCACCCCTGCTGGAGGGGAATCCCTGAGCCGCAGTCACAGCAGCTGCCATTGTTGACATGCTAACAGTGGCAAATTCATTGTTTCAACAAGATCCCTTTAAATAATTCACAGGGAGCTGGGGATTAAAACAATGTTCCTCTGCGTGTCTGCTGAGATTTAAAACACTTCCAGCTGGGAGATTTAAAGAGAGTATAATGGACTGTTGCACCTCTTGGCTCCGGCCCCCCCTGGATTCTCCCCTTCCCACCCCGGGAGCCACCTCGCTACCACCACCACACAGCAGAGAAAGCCCGGGTGCAAAGTTTGGCAGGTAACCATAGCAACAGTAGCTGTGCTATTCAGCTGTCATTATCCTGGTGCCTCACTCGTGATTATCTGAAGCTGTCAGATGAATGCAGGCTGTCATTCTTGCCCCACAAGGAGCACGTAGGTACAAGGCTGGGGAGCTGCTGGTGGGTGGCTCTGTACGCTGGAGGTGCTCTCCACTGCACCTTGGTGCTGACACGTGCCCGGGCATTTATTCTTGAGCTTGTCCAGAGAAATTGCTTACCCCTCAGGGAGGCAAATGCCTCCATCCTTGCTGATACAGAAGCTGTTAGCTCTGCTAACACACAATGAAAGGGAGCACAGCCTGATTATGGCAATATGGCCCTTATATTCTAGCCGGTTGGGCATAGTTACCAAGCCACTTGGTTGCAGCAGGGCTTTGGAGAGCTCATGAGCAGGAACGTGGAATCAGCTCCTGCCATCAGAAACAACATAGCCATTGAACGTCACATACAGGTCTGTCACTTGTCCCAAATTGCCATGGACAACAAAGCAAATAATCTGTCAGTGTGTCAAGTCAAGTCAGTCCCAAGGCCACTGCAACCACTGGGGCACCTTAGATGCTGTAACAACCCTGTGGTCTGTTGAGTTTCTTTGCATCATTGGTGATTCTTTGGGCAGTGACCTGGTGGCACCCACCTCCTCTCCAGATATGGATGGCCGTTGACTCATAGAAAGCTTGTCTGCCCTTTGACAGGTCTTGTTCTCAGTCCTGCTGGGTGTCCACAAGCCCTTCTCACACAGACTAGCTCAGGTGGGAGTTCCAGTTTAGTTGCCAACCACCCAATCATGAAACAGGCTGTACTGGTTTACGTGGTACCAGATACCAGACCAAGAGAGGCTTGGCCTGACAGGACAGAGTGAGTAGAGTATATCTGAATGATACAGGCAGTATGTCTGGACTAGCCTGTCTAATTCCCAAAATGGTCTCTCTAGTCATACACTGCTTAAACCCTAGGGTGGTGTCAAACTATAGACCCCAATGGACTTTGATTAACATCCGCTGAGGACCAGATCCCAAAATCAACTACTTAGAAGTTCTGCCTCCAGCAGACAGTTAAGATGACTCTGTTGTGGTTTGTTTTGTTGCATTTAAGAGACCTAATCTTTTCCCAGACCCTGATGTGTGTTACTCATGAGACTCGAATGGTAATTGTTAGCAGCTTCATGGGAACCACTTTCATTTGTATCATTCTAAATGATCACAGTCTTTCCTATACTTCAGGGTATAGTTGCAGTTATGTTACCATGTAAAGAAGCTGTGCAGTGCATGCATAGCTGTTTTATCCTATTGCAATTCTGCTTCTTGCTCCTAATCTAACCTGCAAACAGGTAATTTTAACAGTCTACCCAGAATGAAGAGGTACATCTAATCAAGTCTGAGGCAGTTCTGGAAATTAGTGGAGTGGTGGGCTAGAGCTATCAAAAGCCAGCACCAAGGCAAGAAAATGCCAGTGGTGCAATGAGATGGTTCCTCCAACGGTCAACCCTGAAAGGTGGCAAAACAACCCTCAGACTGGGGGGAGGAAAAAATGACAGGGGAGCTTTTCTGAAGCAGCAGAGTGGTCAGG